AACTCATTTACATATCAGCGAGAATCACAGTGCGACTTGCCAGCAGCTTGCTGCAGGCGAACGCTGCTCCAGCAGTCAGCTGGAGTTCGATTAATGAAGTGGTTTTTCCAACATATTAAGAGATAGCTAGCATTTCAACGATAATTTCAACAGATTCGGCGCAAAAGATGCAGGAGGCAAACCGGCAAACAGCAACAAAAAAGCAACAAAGGGCAGACTTCTAAGGTGTTTAATCCTTACATATTTGATACAAATTGTAATTAAAACTTCAAGGCAAAAATTTTCCCTCGAAATATAAAAGCACACGAAAGGAAGTCAACTAAACTAAGCTGCTTAGCTGGAGAATCATGACTGGGTATAAAAGTTTGAAGTGAACCAGGGAAAAACAAACTGGTGAAAGACCTGATTGGGTTGATCGTAGGAGGGGCTCTCAGAGATATAAGAATGATAGCTTGATGTAACTATGAAGAACGTGTTCTATTGCGAATAGTGAGGAAAACTGTGATAATTTTATGATCGAAAAATAGATAGCGGGTAAAGACTGATGTACATTAATGAATATTAAAGCGTCAGGATCCTGCCTGAAAGTTAGGTTGATAAAAGCAAATTTCTGCATCCGCCACATAGTACTTTTTCAGATAAGCTTGCCATTTCGATACAGAAGACGGATGATAAAATTCGAAATAGAGGAGAGCTAAAGAAGGAATATCACGGAGAGCCATGAAGGCAAACCTCATAGGTTACAAGCGTCAATTAGATCTATGGAAAAAAGTGAAAAGGGGATTCAATTGCAAACGTTGTCTAAAAACGGAGGCAAAACTGGAAATATCATGTTCACTGGAACTTTTACGTAAAGTAACCACGACTAAAGATTTACATTTGCTAAAGAAACCCACGTAGTCAAGATTGTGATGCCATTAGTAATTTTGTACTTATTTGCATTTATAAATAAAGAGGCTTGTCTCTCGACTAAGGAATGCCCTGTGTTTTGGGAAAGTGATCACTGAACAGACTTTGAAAGATTCCAGTACAGCAAAGTACACTAAGCTCTTGGGTTGAATACGCTGTATACGGTTGTATACGAACAGCGAGAGGAAACATCGGCAAAGCGACCTCTTCCCTGTTCCCAATATGCGAGATCGCTCGCGATTAAGTAAGTCGAATAGGTTGACACGACAATTTGCGCACAGCTAGTTGGCGCGAATTCCGAGATAAGTTGAGAACAATGAGATAATGACTGCAGTTTATAAGGAGAACAACACCGACAGCGACCTCAACTTATGTTAACTGCACCTAGCGTAAACAATTGCGCTTCATTACGGGGTATTTACGAGAATCATAAAGCGTGATGCCGATGATTGTCACGGAGAAGTTATTGCTTCATGGCGCAGGTGTAAGAAATTATCACAAAAACATATCGAAGCTGTCGTAATACCCAGAGCGCTATTCGCAGGCAGCTCGTTGGCAGCCCGTGAATCAAATTGGTGGTCATCGGAAAGGTTGAAGGATTG